TTTATTTGAACAAACTTGGTAGACATCCATTAGAACATGTTTTATACCAAATATCTAAGCTCTAGCTCTTTGGGTTTTTTAGAAGAAGATTTTTTTAAGTTTTTACTATATGCATATAGGGAAAATCAATGACCCCCTGGGGCGGGGCCAATTTTGACCCCAGGGCTTTTATTTGAACAATCTTGGTAGACACTCATTAGAAGATGTTTCATGCTTAATATCTTAGGTCTAGCTCTTTGGGTTCTTTAAAAGAAGATTTTTTTAAGTTTTTACTATATGCCTATAGGGAAAATCAATGACCCCCTGGGGCGGGGCCAATTTTGACCCCAGGGCTTTTATTTGAACAATCTTGGTAGACACTCACTAGAACATATTTCATGCCAAATATCTAAGCTCTAGCTCTTTGGGTTATCTAGAAGAAGATGTTTAAAGTTTTTTCTTTTGGTTGCCATGGCAACCAGAGTTCTGCATGGAATGGAATTCTTTGAACAACTTTGTTAAGGCTTCACACAAGGAACATCCCTGTGAAGTTTCATCATGATCTGCCTTATGGTTTCAGAGGAGATGTCGTTTGAAAAGTGTGAACGGACGACGGACGACGTACGACGGACGACGGACGACAGACGACGGACGAAGAGTGATCCTAATAGCTCACCCTGAGCATATGCTCAGGTGAGCTAAAAACAATTGTTTCATCATCATCATTATCATCATCATCATCATCATCATCATCATCATCATCATCATCATCATTATCATCATTATTATTACTATTATTATTATTATTATTATTATTATTATTTAAGGTTCTTTTATTTATATCATATTGTATTAAATTAGCCACAAAATTCTTTTCAGATTCAAACACTCGTAGATAATGCTGCATAATCATTAAAGTGACAATATGTCCATGCAAGTGTAAATGGTATATAAACAGGTAAAAAATCAAAATAATGATACATTTGCAAAAATTATGTTCATTTTTTTAGTTTAATATGTAAAACAATTGATCAATAATGCATATATATATATATATATATATATATATATATATATATATATATATATATATATATATATATATATATATATATATATATATATACGCAAATTTATGTTATGTAAATTTAACACAAAAATGCATATATTAATGTTACCATATTTTACCTACAATTTGAGAGAGTGCTTACTGAGAGAGTTACTAAAAAAGCTTCTCAATCCGTGAAATTTATTTTTGTCAGTTATCAGATATTGTCAGATATAGATCAGGATGTATTGATGGCAGTGAACAGAACATATGTCGTGGCAAACTTGACCTGTTATCTCTATATACGAACCTGGACTATACAAAAAATTAATGAATCTGTATGACAGCCCCCATTCTGCTTTTTTAGCCTATTATCTCTATATGTGTGTCAGCCGCCATGTTGGTATTTTTCTCAAATGATAATGTCACAATGGGAACAGGAAAACACCCACTTACGTGCAAAAATGTATCAAAAATAGGTTATCAGAATAATTACGTCACAATAATCACAATAAAAAACACCCTCTTGTGTACAAAAATTGGTCTTATTATTTCAGTTTGTTATTTTGTTATCACGATGATTTCAATTTGTATTTATGAATAACATTATTTTAAAAATTTAATCTTGTCTTACAAGATTTGACCAAAGCTTATGATAACACTAACAGTAACAATCTCACTCACAAAAATATATATGGAAAGGCGATCCAATCATAAGCAATGAATCCGATAGAAATATTGCAAATTCTATTTGATCGATTATGTTCAAGATATCTTACAAACCAAAGCACCCGCTTGAGCAGTTACCGTTCTTAAACAAAAAAAATGTTCCTGAATAAAAGAACCAGAAATAAACAGCTAAAAAGGAATGGCGTAGAAGCGACTGTTGCTGTTTATAATGTTGTGTTTTTTTTCTTCATTCTTTTACATTTAATTGCCTTCGTTAACCAAGTTTTCGAAGGCGCAGGTCATGTTTGTCACTATACCGGTAGACGCGAAGATTAAAGGAATGGTTAATGTAGGAAACCTATTGACGACAGAGTTTATGCTATTTTTTCAAATTTAGGCATTTTCATCGGACGAATAAAGTAAGAGAAAGATTAAAAAGAAAAAGGGGCAATGTTTTACAAGATGATGTAATTTAATCCGCAATGAATGGAACATTGACAAAGTTCCTCTGATGTTTATGTGATACAATTATAACACAGTGGAAAAGTGTAGCTTAATGTCATCATTGATTAATTTGTCTTTGAATACCTTTGGGGTTTCGCTAGTTAATGGCATCAGCTGTTTTGTCTTTGACAATTGACATTACAGTATGTTTATATGCACCTTCACTATAAGTGAGAAAATCAATAAATTTATTTCATTAAAGTGTTCATGTGCAAAAGACATGAACAAATAAATCATACGGTTATACATGCTTGTCAAAGTATATCTTTTTATTTTTGACATATTTCACTGATTTTATGAGTGCATTAAACTTCATGGAAAACAAACAAGAAGCCAAGTCAACATTTTTTCTTTGTATGAAAGGTAGATATTTTCATATAAGACATTATTGCTTTTCCTATTATAGCGTGATGCACTTGCGGCAAAATGCTGAAATTAATACTATATAGTTATTAACAAATCAATAGATAGGTAAGAAATAATTTTTGGTCATTGTCGTTCTATTACTAATAAGAGACTAGAAAAATGCTTTTGAAAAGAATTGTATGAAAATTTCAGAGATACATGTAACAATAACTAGATAAAATTGTCCAGGACATATGTACATTTGAGTTTTTCCTTGCATGTTAGAATGATGGCAAGAACACATTCGATGATATTCATGATCATTGCCTTAGAACCACATCTGTGGAACAGTATATTTTTAAATCAAATATTTAGTACCGTATCTTGTGTAAATGTTTAGGCTTTGCTTTGGCGTGAACGGTAGATTGCAGTTATCACTACCGCCAATGAATACAACAAATTGCAATAATTTTGATTAAACTTTGCAATCATTAAGGTTTCCTTTTTTGACTTCATTATGATTAAGAACTAACATGACGTTAATAATTATTGCTAAAAGTGTCACTTACATCTGCTAATATTCATATTTATTACATTAAGTATGATTTGAAATGTCATAAATTTTCACTTTTTGCCTCAAACATATAGCCTTTTCTTTCAAACGACCAAAGCTGACTTGTACATTTAATCAACATAAGGTTTAAATTGTTCGAAGAATTTCGCTTCCGTGGTGAAAGATAGATAGAATATAGTCCGGTAGTCGAGAGATCACCTCTTTTACAAATGTGACCTGATGGACGGAAGTTATTAACGACAACTACCGAGGTCATTTAGCACAGTTTTAATCAGTATTATACTTTAGAATATTGAAAGGTACAATTCAGGATCAATAAGTGCTCAAATTTTTTGATAATTTAAGAAATCATCTTAATAGGGTTGTTTCCTAGTATTTTAATTATCAAATAAAAACTAACCATCAAAACACGTCCGATAATATGTTGATGTACCGTTAAACCAAAACAAATAAACAAACCATTGGTGACAAGTGGCGTTTTGGTACTTAAAGCTGCATTCCTCCAGATCAGCCAAACTTTTTTTTACAAATTCAACCTTGAGGATAATTCACTAAGATTTTAAGAAAAGTAAAACTTTTCATAAATCAAAGAACAATGTTTATATTGTATACAATTAATTACTGATTTTACAATGAAAATCAACATATTTCTACTGCGTGACTAACGCAGTAAGAGCTATTTGTACAAATTCTCATATATATTTTTAGAAAATACTTTCGTAGATTTTAAGTGTCGTTTGAAATGTAAATATTACTTCTCTTGATCACGTTATTACAGTTTAACACATTGTAGAATTTTTCATAAAACTGGAGGCATGTTGCTTGAAATAAACAAAATTTGTTTGCCGTTACGGAGAAAACAAAAATCTTCTTTGTGCGTCTTTATTTGCACGTACAAGATTTACACATGAAATGATTAATGTCTGTGAATTTTTACTCTTCAGATATGAATTTTTCCCTTTTCTATGTAACTAAAATAAGATAGTCAATAAAAAGTTTAATTGTGTATGTGTGATTCATATAGAACATGTCATAATTAATTACGATGTAAGGACATTTTACGTTCGACAATTATTTGTTACACTTAACTTTCTTTCGAGTAAAACACTCAAGACCTTTTAAAAAGCAGATGTTTATCAAACTGATATCTTAATTGACCTCTTTATCTGAGAAAAAAACAATTGTAGCTTGATGACATTTTTATTCTAAACATTTTTGCCCTTTCCTTTTAATAACAGGTAAAGTAATTTCGATTCATTAGTCTTTAGAACTGGATGTTAATAAAGCATAATTGTAGCTAAAATGAAAATGTGAAAATTACTTTTTATTTCTCTTTCTCTTGATATATATACATAATCAACTAGTCGGTTGAAATTGCCACGAAGAAATGATGTTTAGAAATAATAACGGTCATTTTGTACGTTTTCCTCGCAGTAAAGTGCGCCATATAAAATAAATTGCCGCAAGTTCTATTAGGAAATAATGCCAATACCTTTACAAAGGAACTTTGATCTAGCGTAACTCGACTGAACAGAATAGCATCCATTCATTCAGAAAAGACATCCACGACCAATGGGATTAAATATACAATACTGTGATTTGTTTTAGCTCGTATTTTTAAATCAAAAACAAAAACTAAAACTTTAAAAATTATAACTTATGTTTTGACATTTTCTAAAAGTTTGAAATAAAAGGAAATAATCTAAAATGGGATTAACAAGATTTTGTTTTTATCGGTTACGATCATGGATTATGATATGTACTGTGTTTCATGTATCGGACATAAACGCAACAACAAGTAAGGAATTAAGGCTGCTAGGAATGTTGTCGATGACAGGAGAGAGCTGGGATGGCGGGGATTCGTGCTTAACAGCAATCAAAATGGCGGTTGATGACATAAATGCGAATGAGTTGGTTCTACAGAATTATAATCTTACGTACAACTGGTTTGATAGCAAAGTATGTGAGATTTCTACAATTTGGTACCTGTTGTTGCGTTATAATGATATACCCTCTTTAATAGTTATTCATTCGACAATTTCAGAAAAAATAGCATACTAACATAATACGATCACAATTGACTTTAAGGAACCGAAAACAGCATGCCTCCAGATTCATGCTAGTTTTCATGAAACATTTTAAAATGTATTAAGAAGTAAAATATCGTCAAGTGAACAAAAATATGTATCATATAAACATTTTAAACGGCAGCTAAAATATACAAATGCCAAAAGAAATGTCAGAATGTGTACAAATAGCCGTCATTGCGTCACACAGTAGAATATGGTGATAAATACTGCAAGATCAGTCATTTATTGCACATAGCATAAAATTGTTTCGTGACTTGTGAATATTTTTACATTTTTTAAAATTTTATTTTCCTCTAAGTTGAATTTCTTGAAATATTTTGGCTCATCTGGAGGCATGCACATTTTATATTACTTTTTACATTGACAAGATCCTTTTTCAATGTAAGCAAATGCATATCTTTATGATTGATAGAAATGATATATCTAGTGTTGCTTTTTTTCTTCATTCTTATACGCACACATAAATCGCATAAGCTAGAAAAATATTACAAACACATTTTTTCTAGTGGCTTAAATGAAAATAAATTGCTGTTTCTTCTGTATTGAATTACAAGAAAAGGAAATTGCTCAAGACCTTTTTTGCTTCTTAAATTATGATACTACATGTATATTATAAGTGCGTGATAAATAACAATTAGTTATTAAGTAACATTGGACATATTTGGTTGTAAAATTATAGATTGCTTTATTTTGCTTTGAAGTTGCAGGGGTAAAAAGAGTTTGAACACAAAGCAGACACGTTTTTTCTATTATTTTGATATATTGTATTAGAGTTTTATGCCCTTGCATAGTTATGCTCTTATTTGGAAAAGATCACTCTTATGTAAAAAACGTTCGATTAAATTAGAAGGAAAGGTCGCTCGCGCTATTACGCTCTATTCTGAGAAAACATTCCTTTATTAAGTACCCCAACTGGGCGCCGTTCAACCTCTTCAATTATTGCAACACATTCACTTAGCTGTTGAAATATTAACAAGAATAAATGTGAATCACCACTTAAGCCTTCCACACAATAATGTGCAATTACCGCACTGGAACTTCAATCAAATTGACACTTGTTCTAAATGGTAGAAAGAAATGTAGGCTATATTTATATATTAAATATAAAAAACCGGTTTTTACAAGTAAATATAATCTAGAATTTCTACTTTCTGGAAAACATTAATGTATTAAACATCATTTTATATCAACTGATTGATGTTGTAATATAAAACTATCAGTATATCACTGGGACTTAAGTCAATTGATTCTATATCGTTAAATCCTACAGCATTTGATGAATAAAATGTGTTTGAACAAGATTAATTCTCTGTATTCAAGCATTCCCATGACAACTGTTAATATAAAAGTTAGAGACGGTAATTTATTTGAAATGGGAGTAAATGGGCGTTGTGTGATAATTACTATTTTAATGTTATTTAAGTAATGCGTAAAATGTTTATTAAGATTGAAGAAAAAGGTTTTTAAATGAGCAAAAATATCGTCAAGCTAACAAATAAAGAAATTTCAGCTACAAGAGGCATTTATAAGTCATCCCAACTTCAATGATTGTGTCGAAATTTGGAAAAGTAGATAGTAAAGCAGTTGCAACATATGTGTGGCTCCAGTTGAGGAGAAACAATCAAACACTGCCATGTAAAATAATATATGTGTGTCTTTCTTAATATTAACAATGATCGAAATGTATGCCTATCCAAGTGTTCACAGGTAAAGGTCGATAAAAAAACTTGACATTTTGCCGTTATATGTGTTCCATTTCATATTTTACGGTGCAAAAATAATCAATAATCCACTCGTCGAATAGACGTTTTTATAAGTAGTGTTCACAACATATTGGTAAAGTTCTTTTTTATATTTAAACCCATCAATTATTGGGCAGTTTCCATGATAAAAGTCAATCTTTTGAAAGACACATATTACTAATTCAACTCAACTTGACAGCGAAAAAAATAGCATAATGTCATTTTTTTAATTAATGTTATTGTTTTTTTACATCATTTTTAAATTTGAAATATATAATTGAAATTTTGTTTTGTCTCCACCAAGTGCCATGCTGGATTATCCGTATTCCGGATGTCAGAGAGATTAAGCAAGGATCTGCCGTATACAATGGTGCTTGGGGCAGGCTGCTCGGTGGCGTCAGAGTCTACAGCTCAAGTTTCATACCTTTGGAACCTAACACAAGTATGCTTTATTAGTTTTCTATATGAATATGACAGATACTCACTTTCCAGTCCTTTACAAAATGCGGATAAAACCTTCATCAAAAAATAATATTGCCTTAATAAGAAAAAGCTAATATTGAAAACTCATAAAATATTGTTATATTTTATATTACGTATTTAATAATCATCTTTAGTTTACTCTGAAATACTTTTATTGAGTGTCAGAATTTAGTTTCTCTTACTTGCAGTTGTGCCACAAAAAGGACAAAACTATTTACACCCAAAATACACATTTTGGTTGTCTAGTAACCAAAATATGAACGAACTCCTTGAACCCATTTCGTTATATACGCGCCTTTTAACCAACGCTGAAAAGCATTTGACTCTGTCTCAATCCATTGAGAAGTTGCAGCACTTTGAAATCAATTTTGATGGGAAAAAAATCAACGCAAAATAGTGACTTTTGGGAATTTTGAGATGTCCCCTCGTTGCCATGGTAACAGAAAATTTAAGTCTGAGCATACTGTTGCAAGGGCAATGGTCCAGTCAATATTTGTGCCAAGTTTGATTAGTGTTGAAGCAGTTTTTATAGTATTATAGCAATTTAAACTTGTAACGGGAGACTTTTCAATGAAAACATCCATTTTTAACAAAATGCTCATGAAGTAATGGGTTAATTAATGAAATTTTGCCATTTCAAGTTGTGCTTTTTTAAGTTTTTATTATTATTATTATTATAAGATGCCGCTAAGTAATCGCCTGTTAAGAACATTTAACAACGCTTTATATATTTTGTGTAATATTTCGATTAATTTATCTATTTTTCCATAATTTCCTATCTCGTCAGTAAAATAAAAGAACCAGCTCGATCAGTTTCAACATTTAAATAAAAGATGTGTATATTGAGAGTCCTTTCGCTGATCTGTTTGCTTGGCAATATATTACTATAATTGTAATGTTTATTTGGCCGGTTTAACGTCCATGTTTACAAATTTAGTTTAGAATTCAGCAATCGGTTCACCTGCCCGGATTATCTGCATAACTTACCAGCAATTACCATTTTTTCTGCAACTAAATGACTACTTATGTCACGTGTTTTCTGAATCGAAGGTGAGAAAAAAAAATCCTATTATTTTCAAAGTCCAAAATCGATTGCGAAGGAGAAAGTTGGTCTCGCCCGAAAACCGCACTCGCGCCCAATGTGTTACAAATCCGATGAGCTCCCCCATTGAGTTAAGCAAGTGGACTACTGATTAATGAAAACATGTTTAAAACTTGAAAAAATATACGTATCTCTGAATGTGTGTTGTATTTACACATTTATTAAATTATTTATCAGCTCTCGTTTGCATCAACATCACCAGCGTTGTCTGACAGGAAAAGATATCCACGGTTCTTTCGCATTGGAATTCCAGATCAAAAGCTTAATCCTTCTAAGCTTAGTTTGATGAGAGAATTTGACTGGAAAAAGGTCGCAACGATCAACCAAGCAAGAGAATTTTTCTCCGCGGTAATAATATACCTGTTACTTTTATGATTTGAAATTAATTTTTGACGTAGCTTATTTTCAAGGCAGAAATCTTTCAATTATCTTAAATGAAACATTATCCTTTCTAATTAAAGAATGTTTTGTATGGGTTTTTTCTGTTTACATCATTAATACGTTCAATTTACTCAGTTTGTAATTTTCGCTGATTTCTTTGACGCCACTGCATCTTAAGAATTATAGATCATATGTAAAAAAGATAAGACTAATTGGCTTTCGATGCCTTGACTTTACAAATTGATATATTTGCTAACTCTATTTAGAAGCGCACAAAAGAATTGTTGCTGTACGCCAACTTTTCTGTGTTATTGTTTCACTGATTTTAATCCCCATTTAAGCATTCTTCTGAACTTTTATCATGTCATAACATTGATTTCTGTTGATAAAATACATGCCTGATAAATTTAGATTGATCAGTCACCCTTAGCTTTATCAGACACCTCATCAATATATACTGATATAATATAAGGAGAATGAAATATTGTACCTCTCACTGGTTTGAAAACATTAAACTTATTAACTTTTCGAATTCATTGTCACTCTTACATTTGACTGAAAACATTTGGTACTTTTTTCTGATAGATATGGCCCTTTGCATATTACTACGCGCGGCATGAAGACAGATTCTGTTTTATTTGGAATTTAAAGAAAGAAAAGGATATTTATATTGAAATCATGATATATAGAATATCAAACAAGTGTATGATATAATATAATTTATAAGGCTCGACATGAAAAAATGAAGGGCTCGACAGAGCTTCGAACTTCTTTTTTTCTTAGCCTTGCCTAATAAATTTTGTAATATCAGACACTTGTATGGTATTTTGTATTAAATTTTTAAAAAATGGGAAATATATTCAAACAGGTAATTGACGACTTTGTAAAGAACACAATCAACACCGACATTACAATACTGTCACAGGAAATATTTGTGACTAACCCCTACAACAGACTTCTAAATTTGAAGGTAAATAAGCAACTAGCGTTTATAAAAATGACATTTATAACGAAGTTCTATTCACATTTGTTATTATATATCAGTTTCGATAGTGTTACATATTTTATAATTGATGACAGATAAAGGACTTTCAAATTACGGATTTAATAGAATAGTATAACTTAAAATAGATGTTAAACATTAATGATATTTACGTTATGTAATAAGCAAATAAGCAAAACCCTCTGCCACTTTAACAAGGAAATCTTTTTTTTAGACGTCAGCGTCCTTGATTTCTATGGATTGAATATTGTTTAAGCCGGCGCCAGGATGCCAAAGGAATTAAAATGCTCTATTCTGTTTCTGCCATGCACAAGCGTATTAAAAGAAATGTTACAAAAGAGGGATGAAGCAATGAAAACAACAAAATTACATAAAAAAGACTCTGTTTAATCGAGGCTCTTCATGAGGGAAATAAAAAAACACATGAATGTCATTCCTCATGCACCCTAGCACCGACTTAAGCGATATTAAACCTCATACACAAAATGTGGGGGTATCAATCATCCCAAAAGACCGATAAATATATCTTGAAGCAGGAGGCAACATTTTACAGCTACCACACGACACCTGCTGTTATCTGTACATTTCTGCTATTTCCTTTTTTATTTTTAATTGCGTCTATAAATAAAACAACTCGTTTCAAACAAATGCATCGTTTTCGATTTAGAAAGAAAACGAAAAATACTATAAAATTACATATTTGTTAATGAGATACCGTTATTGAGATAAAAAACGTATATCCTTTTTCCATATTTTAACTTTAAAAAAATATTTTTCACTATTGTGAAACATAATTTCGTATTTAAACAGTTGTCTTGTTGGACTTCATTCCCCTAAATTAAGCTTATAATGAAGACATTTAGCTCGTAAGGTCAGAAAAGAGAAAACAAACCTAATATGATAAACAGAAAATTCAAGTTTTTTCCCTAGATACCGGAGTTATTTTCATCTTGTAATATGAATATTATCATATTTTACACTTGGCTACCGCCACTCATGAAAAATTTATTTTCATACAACTCGATGAAAATAAATCCTGTATTTATAGAAAACCTTGAATAACCTCTAATCATTTGTTACCATATTTATCTTTTTATAGAAACAAGATGCGAGGATTATTATTACAGCTATGTACGAGGACAAGGCGCGTGAAATGATCTGTGCGGTATGAAATTTTATATCTCATGTTATAGCCATCTTTTCCTATTCTTTTTTCTAACTTGCTCATTTATCTTTCTATTACTGTTGATTAGTAATTGAAGGATTCGTGTAGTAACATTTTGTTTTGATTAAGATTATGTATTATTGTTCTATTTGGTAATGGTGAAATTACTTTGATGCAACCTGTATACAGGATGAGGTAACTGTATCAAGCATTTTGACAGAAGTATGCCCCTTTTTTCGACTTAGAATTTACATTAAAGTTTTTGTAATAGTTCGAATATTTTCAAAGTCCATTGACATATGGCTTTGAAACTTTTCACACTTGTTCACCATCATTACCCCAACCTGTAGACAGGAGGAGGTAACTGTATCAAGCATTTTGACAGAGTTATGCCCCTTTTTCGACTAAGAATGTACGTTAAAGTTTTCGTAATAGTTCAAATATTTTCAAAGTCCATTGACATATGGCTTTGAAACTTTGCACACTTGTTCACCATCATTACCCCAACCTGTAAACAGGAGGAGGTAATTGTATCAAGCATTGTTTTTACTATCAAGAACTTAGAATAGTCGAGCGTTGCTGTCCTACCGACAGCTCTTATTTATTATAATTACGTTCGTGCCGTGCCATTTATTTATAATCATAGAGTGTTGGATAATCAAAATTAAAGTTGCGTTGTTCTCAAAAATTAACACAAGTGCCAGACACGTTTTAAACAACGACAACACGCAAACATCTACTTAATGTTAATGATAAGAAAGTTATAAAAGAGAATAGTGGCAGAATGAGGAGGAAAATGAAATTGTCAGAAATGAAAATATACTTTGATTAATTGGATAAAGTAACATTTTGCAGACAGTGTATAATAGTTATTTTATGTAATGTGTATATCAAATATCTTGAGGGAAATAAAACATAATTTACAGCATTGATAAAAAACGATAGCTGATATTTCAAAGTCAAAAAACATGTAAGACGAATTAATTGAAAGAGAAAGTATGTAAAGCGGGCAAATAAAGTTATTTGGAATGAAAATAAATTTGATGATACGAGGGTATTGTACGTTTTTCTGTACAATACTGAATTCTATTGAACGAGTACTCAGCTGTGAAAACAATTGGACGAGGCGATAGTCAAGTTTGATACAGGTTCTGCAGCTGTGTACGAGTCCAATAGAATCAGTATTGTTATAAACCATGCTCCATGACCTCTTTATTTCACATCACAATTTCTTGACATTTTGACAGAACTTTATTACTTCAGTTTTAATAATTTTGATAAGGGTTTTGAAAAAATGAAAACGAGGCTAGATGGTTTGCGATATGGATTTGATATGTACCTTTAGGACTCTGGAAATGAAAATGAGGCTATATGCGGTATGATATGAATTTGATATGAACAATTTGGACTCTGAAAATGAAAACGAGGCTATTTTGAGTGTGATATGGATTTGATATGACCCTTTTGGAAAATGTAAGCGAGGCTAAATTGATAATGTATTCAAATATGATTTCTATTGCAACATCACGAGGTGCAAATGCTGAAAGTGCATTGGTCATATTCTATATGTTGTGAAATAAACTAAAATATTGAAACAAGTCTGCTCAAATGCACTTTTCCGGACTCTCAAAAAATCATCCTTTAACGGTATGGAATTTGTCTTAGTTCTGATATAAATGCATTACGAAACTTTTTAGGCTTACAAGATCGGCTTTTATGGTCCTAAGATTGTGTGGATTTTCAATGGTTGGTATACGCCAACATTTTGGAAAATAAATTTAGAAACAGTTGATTGCACGGAGGTAGAAATGTCCCTTGTAGTTGAGGGCGCCTTTTTGACAAGTTCTGTATACTCCAACCCGATAGAGGAGCGAGGAATAGCCAACCTGACAGGTAAATATCTAAGACCTGCATATATTCAGCCAAATATAAATTGTGAATAAAACATGTAGTATTTTGGTAGGTATCAAAAACAAAAAATCTGTATTAACAATTTGGCAACTATTGAAAAATAGGCATACCTATATATATGGCAGAGTACTTATTTACAGAGTACAGTGCAGGTAATTAATTTTTAAACGTGTCACATTAAAAGTTCTATGATCGCCGTCGTATGAATACATCTGCAGGTATTCATGTCTCCAAATTCAAAGTTCTACCATTTTTTTATCATCAAATATTGAAATATTGTACCTAAGTCGGTGCTAGGGGCGTTGACGATAGCTTGCACTTTTTAGTACCGTCCATGAACAGACTCAATCAAACCGAGTCTCTAACATTTTCAACTTCGCTGTTTCTTTGGGCGTTCTTCTGGGATTTCATTTTTATCAATTTAAAGACTATGACGATTTATTCTCAAGAGCTTTATATGCAATAAAGTTTATGCTTGAAAGTTCTTATGAATAACATAAATTTCCCTAGTGTACTCGGTGCGACACAATATTGAAACTGGAATGACATACACAACGATATGTTTATTGAGAATATATATTTAAACAACATCTAAATAAAATGTTCTTGTTTCGGAACACACTTGCGTACAATGTAGCTGAACAAACAGTATTAAAAGAAAACGAAACACCGTTTCTGTTGGCCACACGCATGTTAGAAAAAAGTAGAAACGCATTCATTGTGACCGAGCACATAGTAAGAAAAAGCAAAATGGCTTTTATTACAAATTTTATAATAAGACGTCCTTAAAATGCAACAAGGGCAAACACATATTAGAAATAAGCGAAATTGTCCGCTCGTGACCGAAATAAGCATTGAGACAAAACATTGCTTAAATTAAGCAAAATAATTGACTGGAATTATTAATAAAAATAGAAATAAATTGCTTGTCTGAATTTAAGTTTTACCATTTCGTTAAATATGTATCAAATAGTGAGGTGGTACTTTTTTAGTGCGTGGTTTACTGGCGTTAATTATAATGTAATTGTTGAAAATTCATAAAGTAAAAAGGATTTTAGTTTTAAAAACTTCTTCCATTTTTTTCTATATGGTTAATAGAATATGAGCAAATAGTTTTATCGAATTGAGTTACACGTAATCACCTTTAATTTGTGATTCTGATATCATATTTCAGCCTTGGAGGTCGTATTTATGGGTTGAACATATTGATTTTGACATAATGATATCACTTAACTTTATATCTGGAGGAGCAATGACTGAACGAAGAAAAGTATTGAACGCATTAACGCATTAAAAGGGTTTAATAAGTGTTATCATTACGAAATAGTTACATATGAAAGATATGGTTTCATTCTTTCTCCTTTTAACATAATTTTATATATGAACAAATGGTCGTATATTGGCAAATTCTAAACTAATTTTGACATGCCAATGTCTGAAATCAAAGGCAATTTTGACAAGTCGGTTGATGAATGTTTCATAGATGCTTTCTTTCTATTTTTGTTCGCCGTCTGTTGGATGCAGCGTTGATTGTGTGGTCGGGTTATATCGGACCTGCGTTCTGTTTGTTTTCATTTCTAATGTTCATTGTATGAGAGATTGATTGAAATGAAAAATACTTTAACAATACCTAAAAATTTTGTTGATGGCGATTTACTGAATAAAATGACTTGTAGCTGAGAAAAGCATTGTGGAACTCTATAAAGCATTTACAGACATTTCTTTTATTAAAAAAAATAAATGTATTCTAAGGAAATAGATATATACTAGGCGAAAATATGATTTCCATTTTAGTGTCGGAATTTTTCAAGTTGTACCGGGAGCATCCAACGTACACATCAAGTTTAGAGGACAATGTTTTCCTGACTCCGTGGTGTTATGATCATGTCTGGGCCGCGGCACTAGCTCTAAACTGCACCGATGCTACACTGGTCAGTAGTGGTAAGTAGTTTAAAAAATCTTGGGTATTAAAAATGTAACCAATGTCGAAGATTCGTCTTGCATGGATCGATATCTTCATAACTATGCACACCTGAATAATCAATTCAATACCATTATTAGCGGGAAAAATATCTTATATAAAAAACTTGTGATCTAAATGATATGAAATTCAAAGAGCGGAACTTCTCATGAGAGTTGAAGTTCACCAGTAACATATTAAACATGATTTATCTTTTCATGCACATATTGACATCGATGGACCCAAAGGAATAGAAATTGGGTAAACATTAAATTAAGCTATCATACTGACATCAAAGGACCCTAATGAACAGAAATTGCGGTTAACATTTATCTAAGCGATACTGGTCACAACAGAAATAACAGAAATAGCAATTTCTCTTTAAGTGACATTCTAGATATTACACGGTATCAACAATTATTATGTCGGAATAAAGTCTCGCCATAGAAAATATTGTAAATATGCTCTTTAAACATTCATCTTATAACCTTTTGATATTTTGCCAGATAAACCCTACAACTATTGCTAATTTTATGAAACGTGATGTAACTCTAGCGTATGTGTATGTTTTTAAATTCTTAAACACAATGTACATGGTATTTAGTCAGAACCTACGGGCGTGGATTGCATTAACAAATGTCGCCCTTAATAAGACGCAATCGTAACCTTTTCCATTGTGCCGTTTTTTGTTGTTGTTTTTTTTTTGTTGTTGTTGTTGTTGTTTTTTTGCGTTCTATTATATTTTTACAGTTATTTTCAGGACATTCTAAAACGCTTGACTTGTTTACATATACTGACTCTGATATCAGTGATATGATATTCTCTTGTATGACACGAACGTCACTGACGGGAGTGTCCGGTCGAGTGGTGTTTTCTACAGGTGCTGACCCCGACAGACTTGTGAAAGTTGAGCGTATTCAAGGTAAGGTACACGGTAAAAGTCAATTGCTTGATTTTGATATATATAGTAAATGTCCCTTTTTCTAGTCAATTTCAACATATTCTCATTTCCAGCTAGCAAGAGCTAACATCCCTTCGACTATATTTGTAGTAATTTTGCTGTCATAAAATAGACTGACTAAACGAATATTAACTGTAAATGTGGAGCATTAAAATGTTTATTTTCAAACTGAGTTTATGTTAATATTTACTCATTATTTCAATCATATTATTTCTGGTTTTGGCGTTTGTGCCTTGTGTTGTATATTAAGATTTCGTATCCACCCTTTATGAAAAAATAATGTGTCAAAAGCATCAACAATTTTACCAAAGCATTATTGCTGAAATTGCACGACTGAAATTTCACATTAAATTCTAATAAATTTATTTCACTATCTGATTTCATAATTTTAAGGATGATATTCGCAAATGATTAATCAACAGTTACTTGTATTTACATGAAAAAAGATGTTTATAAATTATATTCGAGTAAACACAGATGGGAAAGATTTATTCAGTCTTGTGCATTATCATTTCTGTCATATAATGGTTCTTCATTAACGTCAACCTTTACGATCTGTACGATCATAAAAATTTGCAAAAAAAGTAACTAAAAACGGCCGCGACAGACCAATTTAATTTGTAAATACCTCCTAATTAACTTTAACATATACATAAAAGTAAAAGTTTAAGAAGTAGTTTATATTGTGCAATATAGTTGATTAGTAGGATATAGTTGAGATTTGTTAATGTCCTCGTGAACGTTTCAATCATATATATGATGATTATAATGATGATGATTGTGAAACAACACCAGACATTAGACTCACTAGTAAGACATTACCTTATGTTGTGTATAAAATAAAGAAGTGTTGTGCAGCCCCAACAAAGTATTGATATTAAACATGTGAGACTGAAGATGTATTATTGTACATGTATCTTAGTTGCTTACAGAATTTTTTAGTCTCAGATCTATGTGTATCTGGCATAAGAAATAGCTAAAATGAATTGCTAGAATATGTACATTTTGATTACCTTCATAGATGGTGCCAGGATTAAGATAGCTCTGTACAGACAGGACAAGAATCCTCAGTATTTTGAATGGAATGCGGGTGCCTTGAAATGGAAAGGTATGTACTGTTAATAACATTTGTATTAATTAAATTGAGGTAATTCATGAACTGCATAATATATCTTTAAAAACAAACCAAATCTGAAAATTTCATGTAATTTTGCCTTTTAAGCCTGTGCTTAAGGTGTGGAGTGCAGCTTGCATTTACCACTACCGATACATGAAAATACTTAATAAATCCGAGCATGCAGCATTTTAAATATTGTCAATATCAGCGTTCGATATACCCATTTGTGACCATTTCGTTGGTCCGGAAGGATCTCTCTATTTTAAAATTGTATTCTTCAAATGTTACGTGTCATTTTGCAGCTGTACTTTACTTTAACATCGATATATTTGTCTGGTCCTTTGGGATCTTGACCCTGGCACATTAAGTTTTGAAGATTGAACACTGCTTTAGCTAGTGCTAATGGGCGTACGCACAGAATGTTGCCTCTTTTCCATTTTCTCTCATGAACAGACTCTGAGTTTGCAATTTTCAAATTTGTTGTAATGGCTTCCAGGGATTTCCTATTTTCCAGATTTTTGCAAACTAGCAGGTATGATTATTTGTTTTCACAATAATAGAATAAGGCAAATAACACATCCCTGCAGTCTGGTCAAGCTTTATTCTTCGGTAGTTGTTCATTCGATGTTTGTTTGTTATCCCTTTTAACTGTATATTTGGAAACCAATAAACAAACAATATGCAATCCAAATTCACAACAAGTCAGTAATTAAAACAAACACAAAAATAATTGATATAAAAGATAATCTTCCTTCAGATGGATTGATACCAAGAGATTTGCTATATAGAAAAAAGAATGATTTTCCCGGGTTTGGTCTCAGCTAAACCCAATGTTTTGACGCTTGAACTTAGGGATTATTTTATCAATTTCTTTTTTTGTGTTCAATTCATCTACGGGAATAATGGGTATGTCATTCCCCTTTTCGAAAAATCTGAATCAAACATCTTATTAGGCTTTAGCATGACCATGAAAAAATAGGGGGTTATATCCAACTTACAAAGCCCCTTTATTTCTTGTTAATTATCTTTACAGGATTAACTATTCGAAATCTTCTTTTAACAATATTAAATTAGTTTTGGCAAGCTTGTAATTTATCATTTGCAGATCTAAATCATTTTCTTTGTTGGTCATGCCTATAATTAATAACTTTAATAAGATAACAAACGGGGACGCTTACTATTAGTAAAGCTAAGCCTCTTTCAATATTAATATCGTATAAGAAACATGTCTGATAACGACTTATGTTGTTTATTTCTTCTTACTCTGCATTTGATCTTTTATTTAGAGGATTAAACAGAAGGGTTGACCTGCCTTTCAACTGTGCTAATTATCGTATTTAAATAAAATAAGTGACTTGATAGAAAGGCAAAGAAATAACTTTTGTTTTTTATATACGACAGATAGATGACAAGCCAAAATGCATGCAATGATAAAAAATGTTAACCGACATAATGATTGCAAATTAATAGATCAGAAATAGGGTTTATTGCATTATTATATTGTACAAGAACTATTATTCCATTTTAATAGGCAATACGTTTTGATTTATTGTTGCTTTAAATTTCAATTAGTTCATACGAGATTGATTTAAAGCATTATAAATATATGTATTTCGTTGTCTGTTGAGTTGCTATTGAACTGATAATCACACAGCTATGGTAATGATTGAATCATAAAATTGCTTTTCATAACATAATTATTATTTCAGCTTATTTCGTCTATTTTAGCTATGTGAAAATGTCCTCATCAAATATTAACAACGTTCTTCTCTTGGGATGTATACTTTGTTATTGTACAGTTTTCTTTAAATCCGTTCCAGCGAACACTTTTATCTGCAAGGTATTCTTCAGTGTCTTCACCTGTATTGTTTCTAAACATAAATTAGTATAATATTTCTTCTTTATGATAGGAAATATGTATTGGCACAGTCCCAGTTTTATTTTATCATGAGAACATTATGCGTTTAATTATTTTCTATGTAATTTCTATGACCATCTATTATAGGCACCTACGTAGAATCATTGCGATGACTTCAATATGGATTAATATAAAGAACCATTTACTGAGAAGACAGAAACCACTGTTTGTAATATGTATTCTTATTATCCATTTGCATATCAATTTTCTATGGGGCAGCATTTGATGAAATATACGTGTTATAACATAACGTTGATCTTATGAACTCGTGTGCAAAACTTTCATTCAATGATAATGTTCGACAAGTAACTTAGATGCATTATAATCGCTGGAGTGTAACTAAAATAGATTGTTAAACTGAATGTAGTCCCAAAAAGCTCATGTCGTAGGATTATTTTTAATACCTATCATAATCATAAATTAATCCGTTGCGTTTCCGTTTTGTTTTTGTAGGCACGAGTGATAAGCTTCTCTTTGGGCTTTACAATAACCTTTGGTGCATTATTCACGAAGACATGGCGAGTGTATCGTATATTTACAAATCGGAAATTACTTAAACTTGTAAGAATGTTTCTTGGATATATTTTGACCCTCTTAAATGTTCCAGCAAAATTGAATATTTATATTTCATTCTTGAGTATTTGATTAAATTTTCAATCTTGAATATTTGATTGAATTGTCATAGAAATGTTTCATCATGAATGTCTGCATTCGATATCATGCGTGAATTATTATAAACATGACAAGAATAAAAACCGATAAGAAAATTTGTAGAAAGTTTTGAAAAGATACCAAATGTTAGTATGTATGTCCTAAAAAGAACTAGATTTACGACAAAGATCATACTTGTGTGTCATAGTGACATTTACTAATTTTCTTTTTAGATACTTAACTCTTTTATACGAGTAAATCGTAAGAACAGTCATTATGTTGAATAAACCACCCTGCTTAATTGTGCGCTTCATTTAATGGATACCTTCCGTAACAATTAACTTTTCAGAATAAACACTTTTTAATCTGCTCATTAATACTTTTGTTATATTTAGCCCGTTACTGCACTAAGTTGACTTTTAGGTGACTATTATGTCGTTATTTTTTATTTATTTATTTTATTTTATTTTTTGCAATTAATTTGTTATACAAATCTTTGTTTTTTATATTTTCTTTCAGAGCATTAAGGACCGTCAGTTGTATGCTATTATAATTGGTCTTGTTGGCTTAGTTTTAATTGTGCTCATAAGTTGGGAGCTTGTAGGACCACATGAAAAGCAGACAAAATTTCTTGTCAAAGAGGTGATCTTTTGTTTACATTTGGACATTGTTTCTAGTAAGGTTATATTTATTCAGAACCAATGCAAGCAGATCCCTGATATTTTTAATGCAATTTTTGTTCTTAATGTCTAAATTGCAAGGCGATAGTATCTATTTCAATTTGGGAATAAAGGAAATAGAAAAATTATGATACCATCATAGATTCAGTTTCATTTCCTATCTTCCTATGACACAATTTTCACCTTTGTTCCCTTTTGGCGTTTTTCTCCAAACAAAAACTGATTTCCTGTAACTGAATGTAAATCAACAGAAGCTAAACATCTTTTACCTAGGAAAAAAATCTTCGAGAAATGGAAATTTGATACTTTTTGACCTTAAAGAACTATTAAGATGTGTGACATACATATAAATTATGATGATAATCAAAATATGAGAATGCACTCTATTTTATTTCATCTTTGCTGATACATAGCATTCCAGCAACATGAATGCGATGTGACAGTCAAATATTTAAATATGAAGTAGGTCTTTCCTTTTTCTTTTTTTTAAAGAAATTACTTACAAATATGACTTGAGTTTAGAATGCAAAAGGTATCTAGTATATGTTAATCATTTAAATCATGTGTAGACAAAATTCTTCTCAGCGTAATTTTACATATATTCATGTTTTTGTTGATTTTTGTGTTGACAAGTACTGGGTTTTATTGTTCTAATTTTAGATGTATTCCGCTGGAGATGGCGTTGAAATACAACCGTTTGTTAATATTTGTAGCTCAGATTATGCGGACATGTTCGGATGGCCTCTTTACATAATTGAAGGAGCTTTGTTGTCGTTTGGTGCTTTTTTAGCGTGGGAAACTAAAAATGTAGTATTTTTTTTATAAATTTTAAGGTATTCGTCAATCAACAGCTCAAAGAGAGTCAGCCGCCTACGTACATTTTTACTAATATATGAATGTTACCCAAAAAAAAATGTTTAGACGACAAGATTTTAATAAATTCTATGTTATGTAAATGTATTTTTTAATCTCAATAGGATACTAACTGTGGCAGAATAGGTCGATTTTTTTGAGCTCGTGATTGGTGTATTACCTTGTTCACCTTGTTTTAGATCTTTTTCCTTATCTTTGTCTGTCAACTAATTGTCGCACCATGACAGTTAAAAACAGCACATTCTAATCGGTGTTACTGAATTAATTCATTATTCTGACATCTTGTATATATATATAAACGCTTCTTGTTAGACAATATGATTCATGATATTTTATATGTTTACTTTATGTAACAGGAAAGTGAATAGTCACATAATTGTTGTAAATACATAATTGTCTTGATTTCAAAGTTGAATGACAAAATAGTTTTATTTGGTTACGAAGTAAGCATGCATTGATTTTAATAAGTTAATATTGTTATTATTTCCTTTGTCTTTTAGAGAATATCGTTTGGAAATACAAATTTATGATTTCTTTTAGATAAATGGAGTACATGTATTTAATGTAATGTTTTTCGAAATTCCGGCAATGTCCGACATTTTCCGTACATATATTTAATAGTAAATACGAAGCGGACATTTGACAATGTCATAACCATGTGATGATTACTGCTTAGAAATATTTAGAAGTCTAATTAATCTTAATCAGATAGGAAAAACAGCTTCCAAATATCTCGAAGCATTTAAGAGATTTTAATTGGTTGGTTTCTTAAATAAAGCATTGTCATATGAATATCGTGCAGGTACGGATAAAGGCATTAAACGACTCGTACCGTATTGGTCTGTGTTTATACAATGTTGTGATTCTGAGTGCGGTTGGGTTGACCTTGACATTGCTACTAGAAGATGAGATCATCATATATGGTATCACATCAGGTTGCCTTCTAATTGGTACATTTCTGACCCAGATTGTCATTTTCCATCCCAAGGTAAGAACTGAATAAGAAAATGGTCTAAAAACCAACTCGCTCAACTATGACTAACCTTTAATTGCTTACCCTTCGAAATGCAGCAACGTTTTTTTTTTTTGTGGGCGGCTGTTCTACGCAATCATTTGAGCGCGTGCAGTAAAATAGTTATAAAATATTGTCCATGTGACTTTTTTCCCGATTTTATTGACCTGTAAACTATGCTTACATTACAGCATGGCTTGCATTTATATATTCGGTTCTTACATTGGTAATGTCTATGTATATTATGATATTCAACCTTGAATGGATTGCTTCTTAGCTCAACAAATTAACTTGTTGCCAAAACAATTAATATTTACTGAATATGTTAATATAAAAATCTTTTTTTTTCACATACAAATGTACATGCTTGTATGTGAAATATGGGGTCTTATATGACAATTAAAAATTCAATGAATATTTTTTTTTTTTCTTATTCTTATTTTTCCGAGTTTAGATTCAAGCCGTTTGGTATAAAGTAGATGGACAAAATATGGCTCTAGATGATAATATCGGCACCAGAGCTGGCCTTTCAACGATCCCATCGACGAGTTTTATACACGATGACAACAAGTTATCAAACGGTTGTAATGAAATGAATGTTGATGAAAGTGTGTTGAAGAAAAGAACAAAGGACTGTAAGACCGAAAGTTCAATCTAGACACGAAACATTTGTCTACGATAAAAAGATTTTTAAGATTTGACAGTTGTACAGTTTTGGTACCGTTATTGCGCATACGCTATGAGTTCAAGCGTTACATATAGATGCCTTTTTATGGCAAGCTATCAATTTGACTTTAGAGGAAAAATACGCACATGTGATGGGTCGTTTTTCTAATTAATGATTGCCTTTGATGTGCGTTTCCATTTGTTTTTAAAACAACAAATTTAGGGAAAGACATTTTATTTTCTATCAAACTTTGAATGACATTTTTCACATCCAAGCGAAATGTTAAATTCAAAACAATTGTTCATTATTCTAACATGGTTTTCTTTTTTCACAAAAATATAAATAACAAACGTCAACAATGACCTTTTTTGGATAAACACACTTCGTTATTGACAGGGTACGTTCATTTAATAAAACGAATGGACAGTCTTTTTATATTTTAAACAGTTTTAACATCATCCTTATTTGTCAATATCAATCGGTTGTTAATCTTCATTATCATAGTCATTTTTTTTAGCTCAAATCGACATCGAATAAAAGAACATGCTGTCAAATTAATTAATGAATTTTACAAAACAAAGACAAGCTTAGCATAATTTGTAATTTTCATTTTATTTTTATACTTTTTTTTAGAGAAAATTCTTCAATAAAGAAACATAATAAAAGATAAAAAGCGATGGCAATTTTGCACAAATATCAATCATCAATTTAATTGGAAACAGGTTGGTTGCTTTCTGTAGAATACATTTTATCTAATTATTTTATCTATACACATGTATATACATGAACGAGAGCACTTTGATTGTGTGGACGAGTTGTCCTACGCGGTGCAAGGTGCAATTTCAGAGATAAATAATGGCTTCTACTTTAATAGTTTTATGTCATGGATCAACCGTTGTAAAAATTGTGTTTCCTTTCACGGAGAGTATTTAAGGACTAGGTGTGTGTTTTGCATGCGTTGAGCGTGGCGTCGTTACGACGTTGGGCCGGTTTCACTGCGATTACCTTAGAAATACTTGAAATTGTACTATTAATTTTTATCCGATTTTATTGAAATTCTGTGTACATGTTTATTGTATGTTTATTTACAAAATGTAAAGAAAACGTCATTTTCCCATGAATATATGAAATATGGCAGCATTTTCTGCACATATATTGAACAGCCCTCAAATATGTTCAAATGCAATTTAGTTTTAATTATCAAAGAGTGATATATTAATACATACACTTGAATGAGTAAAGTGAATTTTCATGAAAGTAGTATCAGTCGAGACAAATTGTGAAAAAAATACTTCAGAAAATGAAAAAAAAAATCCAAAACAAGTTGGTACAAATGAGATTTGGACAAAAAGTGAGAATTGAACCCAATTTCTAAACATTCAATATGGCGGAAAAAATTGAAGATGGTGCAATACATATTCATTATTTCAAAAAATCTGCTGTGACCTAAACGACTTCATAAATCAATTTCAAAAACAGCTGCCAAAATGGGATTAATTAAGAAAACTTTTAAATGTCAAATTATTATAAGGTTGCTATCCAACGAAATACTCAAAGTTCTAAAGAACTTCACACTTTAATTCCTAGTTAAGCTTTATCCTGTAGTAGCCGGACAAAGCCCTGGTAGAAGAAGCTTTAGCTGATTGAAATAAATATGAGCTTGACAATGTGCTATACTACGGCATCTGTTGTAAGTTATTGCTAGAATAATCCAACCACGCAGATCACCGAATAAAAAATTGGCAAATTCTGGAGGACGCAATTGCTGGAAAGCATGGGGTATTGTACATAATAAAAGTATACCTTGCTGTCCACAAAATACCAGACATCTCCATTATTTTTTGTTATTATGGCAGTTAATATTCATGCTAATGGGCATAAAATGGTTGAGATAAAATTATATACTACTCAAAATTTGCTAAAGATCACTTTTTCTACAGTGCGTTATTTTTGGGTATTTGTAATAAATGATAAAATTATTTAAAAGGAGTTAGGAATTGATTTTTCATGAAAATAATGACAATGGAAGTGTTCCGGTGTTCGGTGTGCATGTTGCGGAAAGAGTGTGCTGGACGAAAAATCAACATTTTTTAGATCAAAAAATAAAAAATATTGCAATCATGAAATGGTTGGCATAGGATGTAATACCGAGTATGCTGTCCGCGGGCAGAAATTACGGTTTATCATTGCCGCCGCATGCTGCTGATGAGTCTGTGGACCTTTTGATGAGGAATCTGGGCCCATTCCTCTATGACTGCATGTCTTAGCTCCTGAACTGTTATTGGTTGGACGAGGCGTGAAGGAATAGCTTTCTTAATTGGATTTAAATCCGGGGACGTCGCTGGCCAATCCATGCGGACTATAGTTTTGTTTCCTGAAGTTATCGTTTTGTGATATCTGTGTGCACGGGCGTTGTCAACCATAAGAATGAAGTTAGGGCTGACTCCACCGGCGTACGTGCATATATGGACGTCTAAGATTTCATTGAAGTACCTTACTGTCGTCAGTGTACCGTTTCAATGATGTGTAGGTCCGTTTTCCTCTCAGCGCGTTTTCCCGCCCACACTATAATTGAACACGACATTTCCATTGGTATGCTTTTCCACTTTTCGTGCAAGGTGTAGATGACAAATCGATAACTTAAGTACACGATTATTAGGTCCCTATACAGGTGTATCGTTAGCGGAAATATGATTTTAATATGATAGCAATAGGACTGAAAAATGCAATGTCAAAAAGGTGATCCTTAATAATTTTTTATCTGTATATATTTAAAGCATTTTCATCGTGTCTCGTTGTTAAACTTACATATTACGTTTTTGTACCTGAATGTCTACATAAAGATTGTCTAAACTACAGATCTATTGCACTTTATCATATCTATTAGTCGAGAAATGATCCCAAACTTTAACATTTAAGAATCTTTAATGTATTCTGAAGGTGTTTATGTTTTTTGTGCCTGCCATGCAAAATATCTTGGCATATATAAAATGGGCCCCATAACCAAAATTTCTCTTTTGTATTAACTTATGTCTGTTCCAAGTTTGGTGCTTATCTCATTTTCTGAAGTGTTTTGGGGTTAATTTTTGTGTCCTACAAATTTGCTTGACATGTAAATTTAGGTTACTTGGATGGTATTCTACTTTGTTGGCATTGCTAAAGGATTGACGGTACACAAACGGCTGTCTCGATATAGGTTTCAGTTGTTGACTTATAAATAACATGAACAAAGATGTGCGATAAATGATAGCAATGATTATTAATAATAACTATTATTTATTAATAATAATCATATGTTGTGTTTTGGATCGGAATATCAGTCCAAAGTCAGTCCGCCCATTGAGAGGGGACTAGATTAAACGATATCCCGATCTGAACCTGGAAAATTGTCAGATAATTTTCTTGCATATTCTTCTATATTCCACCTATATTTTATAAATGGTTAACCTAAGTTCATTAACGTTTCGTGGAAATAAACATATTTGTATCCGTAACTATTTTCTATTTAGCTTAGGAATTGGCAACTTATTCTGTAACGGCGAAAGGAAATGGCGTCGTCATAAGAAAACATTACATCCTAAAACACACCAAAATGACGTCATTTTTGGGAACACGACTTTGGTGGACAAACGGAATCGGAAAATCCAAGATTATATTTTTTGAAAAAATTATTAGATAGAATTGCACTAAATTTATATGTTTAATATTGCGTAAAGAAATTCATTCCTATACAAAACGATATTCCATTTTAATAGATCTTAACTGTTTCTAATTTTTAAATCATTGTGAATTCAATTATTGTTAATTCGAATTTATTTTTTTCTCAGAGATAACATTGAATAATAAGTGTATTATTTTACCATTCCGAATCATCACATGCGTTTGTGTAATTGTTAAAACGAAAATTGTTTCTGTTCATCGTATTTAATATTATCTGTAATTTTTCTTGAACAGCAGAATGTTTTTCAATAAGATCCACCAATTTAAGTTAAATTGTGTCAGTGAGGCTTTAAACCCATATAAAGAAACATTGGAGTTAAATTTCTCTATTATTTCAACTCGTTTACTTGTAAAATTGTTTTTACTGTACTTCCGTGTGTGAAGTTTTGTTCTTAGCTTTAACTATATTAGTTAATAATGTATGTACATTTTTATTTCTTTTAATAGACACATATTCCTTTCCCGAATAAATACATAGAGGCTTCTATGTTTATAATAGGCATGATATCATACATGTATTTAAAAAAAATTCATACATGTCTGAGCATATCAATATCATTGTTATTTCCCATGTGATGTGACACACGTTTTGTTGTTAAAATAAAAAAATGATAGTCTCAATTTTTTACTTTTTAAACAAAGTTAGATAAGTTCTCATTGGCCAATTACCTGAACTGTCTTCTTTTTCTGTTGCCTTTTGACAATCTTTACACTTATACTGATATTGGTATATTGTATGGAAGTCAAAATACTATTTTGTTTACATTTTGCTTCTTTAATTACATATGATTTTACATTTAGCGCTATTTTAGTGACGTAAAAGGCACGAAAATGGTCTATAACCATTATTTGAACATACTTAAACTCATGTTTGACCTTACTAAAGAAGTAAATATTAATCTATTCAATAACACATTTTCAGGTTATTATTTAACAGTATATAAATAGATATTAAAATATTAAACAGGTTATATGGCCGTATACAAACAGTTGTTAACATTTTCTAGAGTGTAACACGAGTCGCTATGCAAGGTTTATTTATGCAAACAACCGTTTATATACGACCATATGATCTATCAAGAATCTTTATATTGAATGAATTTATAATACTGCAAACCTTGTTTATTAAGGAAACAAAATATTAATTTATAACTCGACTGCATCAGGCTATGAAGATTTTATAAACGTTACGATTATCCAATCAAAAGCGACGTTACAAACGTGCATTATTATAGTTTATTTAAACAAGGTGGTTACATCCTTGATGGTTTATATAAGGCACTCAAGTGTGCACT